CAGTTGGAAAAAATTCTCCTTTGTACAATTTTCTTCCTTACATTCATTGATGAAAAGGAAATCATGAGGTTGAGAGGAAGACTGGAATTTTCTGACTTCTCACTAGATAATAAACATCCAATAATCTTACCTAAAAATTCTCGACTAACGATTCTGATTGTATGCAAAGAACATGAGAAGATAATGCATGGAGGAATTGCTGCGAACTTTAGCTAAAGTCAGATCACGCTTCTGGATTCCTAAAGGACGACAGTTAGTCAAAAAAGCATTAAAAGGTTGTATAATTTGCCAAAAATATTTAGCTAAACCAGCAGACCAGATGACAGCACCCTTACCAAAGGATAGAATCCAAGAATCGCCTCCATTTGCAGTCTGTGGAATTGATTTCGCCGGACCAGTTTACGTAAAGAATTCTAAAGACACTTCGAAAATCCTATATTGTTTTGTTCGTTTGTGCAGTAACCCGAGCTGTACACTTAGAACTTGTATCAGATATGTCAACAGAATCCTTTTTACTTGCATTTCGCAGATTTTTTGAGCAGAAGAGGAAACTGCGTAATCATCTACTCTACTCTGACAACGCCAAGACCTTTAAGAGGACAAAGAAAGAACTTGAGAATTTTTCAAAAGTTTTAAAAGATGACAAATTCAAGAATTTCATTGCCAAAGAAAGAATCCATTGGAAATTTATAATCGAACGAGCCCCATGGTGGGGAGGGTTTTATGAGAGACTTGTTAGATCTGTTAAAGAATGTTTAAGAAAAATCGTAGGAAAAGCATTGTTGACTTTCGAAGAAATGTCTACACTACTTGTCGAAGTGGAGTCAGTTCTTAATTCACGACCTCTAAGTTACGTTTACAACGACAATGACGAGCCGCAACCCGTTGACTCCAATGCACTTCTTAAACATTGGACAAACTGATTTGAAGTATCCTTTGACCTTTGCTAGAATCATCGGTAGCGAAACGACAAGAGAAATGCTGTTAAAAAGAAAGCGTTATCAAGAATTGCTGTTAAAACAGTTGTGGTGGAAATGGAAGCAACAATATTTATTAGATCTTAGAACTGCCCATTTCTTGAAGAATCTGCAACTTCAACCATAACTAAAAGTAGGAGATGTTGTTTTAGTCGAAGAAGATAATAAAATTATGAAAACTTGGTAGAATCATAAAAATTATTCCTGGTCGTGATGGTAAAGTCCGATCATTCGAATTAAAAACTGGTAATGGGACTTTAAAACGTACTGTTCAACATCTATATCCTCTTGAACTTTAGATATTTTGAACTTTAACGATTTAGTTATGCTTTTTTTCCTTTTTTTGTCTATTAATGATTAAATTGAATATCGTTAGTTAAGTTTGTTCAGTTAAGTGGAAAATATTTTAAAATTTAGTTCATTTATTAGTTTATAACATTTATTATTTGATATCCTGTATTGGAATTGAAGTGTTTGACTAATTAGTATATTTTTAATATTTTTATAGAATAGTGATTTATGTACTTGATTGTATGTATAACTGAGTTAGATGAACTCTTGTCAGAGTTCAGGTGGGGAGTGTGTTAAGGAATATTCTTTGATATCGCCAAGAGATGGCGTTAGGAGTCCATCTATTGGCTTACTTAACCTTTCCCCTTCTGAACACGTGACTTGAAAAAATATTCTTCTTCTTGAAGGTAGAATTTCGATGCACTACGCAATAGAATTCGATTTAGATTTTAGCTGGAACTATTCAGTTCTTGCCTTTTGAGCATTAAATATTCGATTCAGGCATTTTAGCCTACATTGTATATATGTAAATATTAAGTTTAATTAAAATTTATGGAAAACCCTCCAGGCCATGCATCTCGTCTTTTGGATTATGAGTGATTCGACTTTGATCTAGAACTTTTGTTACAGTAGTTTTGATAATTTCTGTTTATATGTATGGAATATTAAAAGGAAGATTCTATTGCAAAAATCGTGGTGATGATTTTAGCTTTGTCTCATTTGATTACAAAATGTAGATGCTCTAAAGACAGCTGCTCTCAACCTGTGGTATGCATACTCTTGGAGGTACGCAGCAGCTTAGTCTGAGGTGTGTGAAAAAATTAAAAGTAATGGGAGAAGATGAAAATATAATAAACGCTAAAAAAATGTGAAAGTTTAAATTTTTCATTAAATAGAAGGCAAAGCAATTGCAAGAAATTTCAGTGACTATCACTGACCAAAATGTGTATGACAGTAATGTAATTAGTTGTAACTACCTCCACACATTGCTTGATTTCTTAGTCTCTTATGTAGCCACCTTCTTTCCCTCTCTGCCATAGTTATGCAGCTGTCTTTCTCTACAATTATATTATACCCAAATTTATTTGATCGTGGATGTTTTTTTTTGGGGGGGAGGGGTACTGTGCAGTTGTTAAATGTGAGGTTTGTGTAATTAAAAATGTATAAATAATGAAAAAGTAGATTTTCATATAGAAATAAAACTACCACGGATAGTTGTACTTCTCCACCAAGCATTTCGAAAGAACCAACTGGACCAGAATGAAGCAGTTAGTCTGGCAAAAGATAGGATGATTAGTAGTAAGAACATTTCAACAGCAGTCCTTTTTAGAAGGAAAGAATCCTGATGAATATGTGGTATGGATTTTCATCCGTAAGAAACAAAGACAGCTCTAATTCTCTTAGTGTAATAAGTAGAGAAGTTTTATCAAATGGAAGTATGAAACCTTCGTCACTGTTGCGTCATTTAGAAACCAAATGACCAAATTATAAACAAAAATTAATAAATTATTTTCAGCAAATTTTTGAAGGTGTAACATAACATCTTATTTATTATCAGGTAACGCAGATCCTGAAAATGTGATAGAAACTTCCTACAAAATAAGTTATCATATTACTTAAGTAGTGAAAACCATATAATCGCTGAAAATTTGATACTGCTGCATGAATGCAGTAAAAAGTTGTTAATTCGGACACCTATAATCCGGAATGATCTATAATCCTGACCTCAAAGCTAAAATCTTTCTGCTCATGTGCCGCGTTGACGCATGCTCATATACGTATTACGCGTGCACAAGAGACATTTACGACTGCGCATATGCGTATGAGCAAGCGCAGAATACATTTTCGCGTGCCCATTTAATGTATAACCGACGGTATAAGCTAAACTTATCTAATTATCTATTTCAGTTAATGTTGATGATTGCGTTGTTCCTTAACCTTCGAATTGGATCCGGCTTATTATTTTTTCCAGACTGTAAGAGCAATTTTATAACAGTAAGCTTGAACTTTCGATTATGTCAAATAGAATTTCCGATACTGGAGCTCCCAAAGGATCTAGAAAATGAAAGTATGTTTCGATGTCTATCAAACAAAAAACAAATTGCTACAAAAAATGGATGAAGGTATATCCTTTGTTTATCTAACCATTCCGAAATCTGTTTATCAATTTCATGCTGCTCTGCGCGCGGGGGGGGGGATGTCGCGGCGCGCAATGAACTGGAAGTTGATCTGTCAGCACTATCGTTATCTTCAGGGCAGATGTTTTTATTTTATTCGGCTTATAATTCCTTACTAAATGTAGTATTTAATCTCAATGTACTCCGTCTTTGATATGATTTAAATCAAATTCCTTGTCATTATAAATATCACGAATACAAATCAAATAGTTTTCTGTTCGCAATTTTCTAATTTCGGCTATGTGTAAGGTATGCTTTACGCATGCGCGCATTGAAAGAAATGTTTAATAAAGTAAACAAATAAATATTAAGCTTCTTTTTTTTTTGTAAATTTTGATACCCTTTAGATCATAATTGCTCATTATTTTATAAATTACGGTTTCATATTTTTAATTTTATAATTTCTGCATGCCATCTTACCAGATTTAAACTGATGATCTATAATCCGGAATCGCCGAAGTCCCGACGAGTCCGGATTAAAGACTTTTGACTGTATTTGGAAAAGAATATATTTAAAAAATTAACAGCGTTCTACTCTCAAAGGATACAATTTCTTGAAAAAATACGGACATGTCTGATGTCCGTATTAATTTGAGTAATTGAAAAAAAAAAAAGTAGTTTACTTTTTCCTCTACATTTTGATGAGAACACCAATGCATTGAACCTTTCAAGATTACACTTCAGTTTTTGTTTTACATTTAATATGTTAAAAATTATGTATTAATTCACTTTAAAATAATTACAAGTGTTATGTTTTATTGCAATACAGCTTTGTTTCAAAAGTGCTTAAGGTTTTAGTATAGGACTAAATCTCATCTAAAATGTAAATAAATTCATCAACTAATTTTTCACTTCCATTATTTAAAAAAATATATATATATTCAGAATAATTGCAGTACATTAATAATACTATAGTGTTTTAAAAGAATGTGTCATTACCATGCTTATTTGAAGTAAATAATGTAATAATCAGTCTTTCTTTCATTAAGACTGTTCTGACATTATTCACTGCAGTGTATTGATTTTATAACATCAAAATAATGTAAGATCAGTTATACTGAAAGGGCTGAAGGAGAGGGTCATAGTTCTGAAGGGTGAGGTTAGGGGTATTCTGTATTACAAAGTTTTATTAACGGATATATGAAAGGAAAAAGGCTTAAAACTGCCGTTCTAAGAAATATTTTAGCAAAGATTTGCAATTATAAATATTTTTCTTTTGCTAAGTAATTGATAATTTTCTGAATGTCAAACCAACATAGTGAGTATTGCTATCTATTTTTTCATTGCTTTTGGAAAAAAGAGACTATTTCTTTTTAAAGGAGAAAAACTGTAAGCTTTTGTTCAAAGTGGTCCTACAAGCATCATTTTTTAGGTAGGGATTTTTTTTTAATTATATAAAACAGTTATTGAACTACAGAGTGATGCTTTGCTGCCAAATAATTCTTTTACAAAGCCAAAAGTGAACTGAATAAATTATATTTTTAATTATTTGTTTTAATTAGGGTATATAACGAAAGATTTTTACCCTATTTTTTATTTACTTATTTATTTTTAGTATGAATTATAATATTGTTAGAAAAATAGCTGCCTTCTTGGAAATTGACAATTATGAAAATTGCACAAGTCAAGAACTTGCTTCGTGTATAATGAAATTTTTGATGGAAGTAAAAGTGCCAGGTATTTGAAAGTTTTTTTATTACATTTATATTCCCTCCTATTCTTTTTTCTTTCTTCCCTGGTCTCTCTTTTTATTTATTTATTATTTTTAAAACTTCTTAATTTATTTATTTTGCGTGTGTTGGGTGCACGCAATCTGTTATAATCATTTTAATGTTTATATACATAATCAAAACATATTTGTTGGAATAGGGCTTAACATGTTTTGTTTTTAGGCAAGAGTAAAAAACGTTCTGTTCCTAAACAGTGTGGATCTTCAAAGAATGCACTATTTAATGTAGAAAAGTCTGATGTCTTGAATCATACAATAAAAACATCTGATGTCTTCAGTTGTAAAGGAATTGAAAGGCTTCAGGTAAATTCATATTTTAAGCCATTATATTTGAAGTACCTTTTTATTGCTTTATATAAACTTTTAAAATATTAATTCTGTCTTTTTAAGTCAAAAATGAATGTTTTAATCAAAAAATAGTATTGAGCTTTCTTTTGTTTCTTTTAATGAAGACAAGTTTCATCATTATTAAATTTTCAAATTTACCATTTATTTTGGATCCTTTATTACAGTTTTTTTATTTGTATTTAAGATAGTAGTAAAGCTATGTATTAAGCAATCTTGCATCAGCTTTTGCTAGTTTTGTTCCATTCTGCAGCTTACCACCTATCATTTTAAAGATTTCTGTGAAATTCCTCTTCTATGAAGCATTCAAAATTTAATTAATCCTATCTTAAATCTTACGAACATTTTTACTATTCTGTGATTTACATTGTGTCACTTCCCTTTTTATTGCGATGAATGGTTTTCTGGTTATTGTGTATTAGTTGTTTATGTGTGATTTTTTATTTTTTGTAAAACAATTCAAAGAAAAGAATGCTTTATTAGTTTGATTTCCCTCTGTATACCTGTAGCTTACATTATTTAACTATTACTTAAGATGTCTGTTGCGTGATTTTCCTTCATGCTTTACTAGCATTTCTAATAGCATTCTGTTCTATTTAAGAAAGCAGTTTATTAAATAAAATTGTTTTCTTATCTTTGTAATTATTTTTCACATCAATGATAAAATGTTTCATTAAAAAAAAAAAAAAAAAACTATTATTTTTATTATTTTAAGTTTTGCACTCGTGTCTTCAGTATATTTCAAATACTGCATACGTTATTTAAGTTATATATATTTAATCAGCAAAAATGTTTGACATTTTTGTGTAGCTCCCATATGCATATGAATGAATACTTTCATTAAATTTAGGCATTAATTTCGTGAAGTACTGTTATTGTTGCAACTCTATGCCATGCTAACCATCTTCTCCCCCCCATCCTTAACACAGCCCTATTTGTTTATTACCACACAGTATATTTAGTGAGGTCTGAACAATTTACTCAAAGGAAAGCACTCGGTAGGTTTCAAGCCTTATGAGTACCATAGTCAGCTGAGTTCTTGGCTCAAGTGAGTATTTATCACAGGATACAGGCACCTGTGTTAATCCCTCATCCTGTGTGGAATAATTAGCCTGTATCTTTCCTGTAGTGAACATGCTGAGAAGATGTAATGCCAGGTCTAATCTCGTGACAGTAGCGTCTGGGAAAGGGAAAACTAATACATAAAAATATAATTAGAAAAGCATATTATCTAGAGGTGAATGGAGAGATACGTAAAAGTTGAGTAACAATTACTTAAAAATAAAGGAAAGTACAGGTACTACTAAGTAAAGTTGATGTGATTATTAATTTCATTTCCAGTTTTGAAAAAAGACATGGATATTATCTAGCAGTTCTTTGCAACTGTTAAATTTAGGCAGGGATTTTCTGAAGATCTGGGTCATGATTGTAAGTTCATCTCTGCTGAGGATTTTATGAATTTCTTAGATGTGATTGAAGACCTCTATAAAGTCGATTTTTGTGTTAAATTATTGATAGTGTTTGGGGGTTTCTTATAGTTAGTGGTTTCTGATGAACTGGTATTTGCCATGGGAACTGAGTAATTATTATTTCTGGATGAAACATTATTTGCATTGGAGCTGAGTCTGACTTAAGTGCTTTTGAATAGTTGAAGCCTGGTTTAATTAAATTATTGTCATTTGGCTTATTTTTGTGGACTTTAGGACACCCTAAATTATACCCAGTGATGATGTAAATTATACCACATGCTGAGAGATTTAAAAGGCTGTTACTACATTAAAGATGTTCTTTCTTTCCTTTGTAGAAGCAATCTGTTGTTTTATGGGGCAATGAATGTTTGGTACTTCTTTGTTATAGTGGCCTTCGAGATTCACTCGTTAACCAACCGAGAAGTATCATCAAAATCTGGCTGTGTGTTCTTATCCTCACCATGCAATCATAATATGTTAGGACCGGCTGCATGCTCTTATGCCTCAAGATGTAATCATATATAAGCACTGTTTTGTATTTTTGCTTTTGCCGCATGTTCTTATATTATTCATTTTTGACAAGGCTTTTGAATTCTCATTATTTATTTAAAAATATATTCATTGCTCTTCCCCTTTTTTGTGAATATGATGTTAACAGTCTTTAATAAGTAGTGAGATGGATGCCATATAATTTTTTATCTGACAGATGAGTATATGAAAATGGCCACAACTTGAAGCTTTGTGTTAATGACAAAACCATGTGGAGATGCAACGTTTAAAATTGCAAAACGAAAGATTTCCATATTGGAAATTGGTTCAGCAGTTCCAGAATATTATTCTCACTGCTATTAAAGTTATGTATTCTTGGGCAGAGGAGTTGACGTCCATGAAATGGTGTAACAAACAGCTTAAAATGTATGAAAGTGCTGCAATTAACTGGGGCAATTACATGCGATAAAATAATAAGAATAAGGATTCTTAAAAATATTCTTAGGAAATCACATGTGAGTATTATGTTATTATCATATATTGTGTTTATTTTTACATTAGTGCTTCATAAACTTGGTGAAATTATAACTGAGATTTTGGTGTAAATCTAAAATTGCCAAATATAATTGGGGGTCGCTATAATAAAGAAGTAGTGAATATTTTATACAATGTGGTTGAAAGAAACAATTCTCGGAAGAGTGATTTCACTTCCGACAAATGGTATTTTCATATATGTAATTTTTCAGCAGAAACGAAAGAATAGCATGAAATCTTTAATGTCGTAAATTTTTTCCATGTTTTCTCTCTGCATTGAACCAGGAATAGTGGCACTGCAGCTTTTGATTTTTGTTGGTTAATTTGTGGAAATTGTTAACTGTGAATCCTCTATTTGTGAAAACTTGGAATATATTATGTTTGGTGGTGATTATAAGAAGTCCTTTAATTACAACTTTGGTCTCATGTGTTTTGAAATTCTGATGTTCAGTATTATTTTCATGGAAGAAGTTGCTAAGTGAATATTGTTTGTTTTCTGTGTGAGGCAGAATTTGTAGGTTATCTTAATTTAACCTGTTTTGCTATTTTCATAGAAATTTTACTTCTGTTGATTTAGCAAGTTTATTTAAAAATTCCTCTTGTGTTAAGGAGCCAGGGCAAACCATTATTGTTTGTATTAAGTAGAAATTACTTCTGGGAGGCTATTGCAAGATTTCCTCAGAAGTTGTGTGACTGCCAAAAGTTTCATACCTATTTTCTGTGGGCGTAGTGGTCTTATGGCAGACATTCTCATTGCAGTGAGTGTCAGCTATATGCATATGTGCTCGTCCTTAGCACTAAGATAAAAAGTTAAACCTTTTTCCCTTGAGTCTTACTACGTACTTCTCATTTTGCTTGTTCATTGCTAATGTCTGACATCGTCTTGTGTGCGTTAATGTTTAAATATTTGAACTCTTAGCTCAAATTTATGGATTTTAGGCCTTTAAAATGACCTTCTTATGGAGGGCCAATGGCAATAAAATATTGCCATAGTCTTATTACCTTTAAATTTAGGTTTTTTTTACCAGTTTTGTAATAGGGGGGAAAAAAATCCATCCTGATATGGATTCCTCATACCTATCATCTTTACATTTTACAGTTTTGGGTTTCAAACTTTTTTAGGCTTAATAGTTTTGGGAGGGGAAAATTGAGCTTGCATTATAAAGTCAACTTACCTTGCAGGTGTTGAGTTTCTTTCGTTATTTGAACAACCTTTTCCTTTTAGGTCTTCATTCACCAAACTGTTAGAAGTGGAAGATCTTTTCACTAATACAAGTATATCTTGTTTCACATGGTCATATTCAGGATCTGATTCCTCTATGTGTATATGAAAAATTGTATATTCATTTGATTTGTTGTCTTTCTTCAAATCTTTGACTTAAGGCTGGTCGTGGTCACTCTCGGGTGAAACATCCTTGTTAGACCATACTCGAAGCAAAAACTGAGACCTCCTTGACACTTGTAGCATAAAGCAAAATAATTTGAATAATTTGAATGCTTGGATGTTAGTATGTTCACTGAAAACATTTTATTTCACTAATGCACATTATGAGTTGATTATGTTATTTGTTGATTTAAACAAACACCAAAACATGAGCACAATATTCATAATAAAAGAATGTAAATCATCAGTAATAAGATATGTACAAAGGTCAGTCAAGAAGTTAGTTGCACTGCTTAACAAAATAGGATAGAAATTTTGCAATAACATTATTTGTATCTTAAAGTTCCATTTAAAATTTACCCCATTATTTAAGCATTTGTTGAGGTGAGGTACAAGTTTTTTAATTCCTTCTGCAAAGAAATCCTGTCCAATGCCCAATAACCATTCTTGTGTTGCAGCTCTCCCCTCATCATCCGAGTGGTATCGTCGCTTTGAAAGTTCTGCTTTCGTGGAATCAGAAACATGAAAGTTACACAGTGCAAGATCTGGGCCGTAAGGAGGGTGATCGCATGTTTGTCTTGCTGCATGTGGTCTTACATTGTCATGTAGGAGCAAAATGCCTTTCGATGGTTTACTTGGCCGTCAATTTTTAAGTGATTGTTGCAGTCATTTTACTGTTTCTTAGTGAAAAGATGCATTAATTGTGCCAACCTTCGGCATAAACTCTGTATGCACCAAACCTTCTATGTTAAAAAACAGCATAAACATTACTTGTCCCACAGATGAAACAGTTCTACACTTTTTTCAAGTCAGGGAACTGCATTTCATTTCAGGTGAGAAGGTATGAGTACAAGACTCATCTCCCATCACAATTTTGTCCAAAAACTCATTTCTTTTCTTTTGGTAATGTTGCAGAAATTCCAAGGCACTTTGAAAATTCTTCCCTTTATGTTCCTCCATCAGTAGACTGAGGCACCCATGGAGCACAAACTTTATGAAATTGCTGCTGGTAGGCAATAATTTTATGCACCCTTCCATGAGAAATATTGAGATTTCTTCTATTGTTATGCGTTTATTTGCAAGAATGCATTTGTACATGCGAGCAGTAATTTCAGAATTTGTGCCAGTTGATGGTCTTCCTTGTGCTCAGCATTGTCAATATCTGTACGTCTGTTCTCAAACATGTGGCACCACTTAGCAACAGTTTGATTTGACATTGCATTTTCACTATAAACTTCATAGAGCTGCCCATAAATTTCACAGCAATTACACCTTTTCGCCCGCAAAAAATGAGTCACTGGATACATTTTGAATTTAAATGCCACTTGCAACTGATGAGACATGTTTACGACTGATTATCAGACAAATTAAAATTGCCTCTAGAAAGCCGCTATGGTACAATATACAGCTAAATGCCTGAAGTGTTTCCAGACAGTTTCATCAAAATAACCTTTGATAGAAAATTTTTACAAAGGGGTTCAACTTTCTGGCTGACCCTACATATATCCTTATATATTTCAGGAAAGTATTATAACTACTTTTGTGTGTGTGTGTTTAGTTTTTTAATTTTCAGGCTTTAGATGCTGCTCTGGATAATGTGTGTTCTTTTGCAATTACATTAAAAATTCATCTTGAAGATGTTAAATATATATTTTGATGAACTCCATCAAAGTTTCTTTGTGATAAACAAGACCATAAATTGCCATGTGCTTTTGTTAGATATTTTGGATTATTGTATTTAAAATCTGAGATCTTGCAATTTATTTGCAATACAGTAAAACTTTGTTTTCATTTTCTGCTGAAGCTAATAAGTATGTCTCTCAGATGACGTAATTGTCGTATGATTCCCCCTGTTCTTATATATTTGTTCTTAAAGGCTGATATTTTACAGCAATGAACTTTTTTTTTTTTTTTTTTTTTTTTTTTAAGTTAAATGTACATAAATATAAAATCAACCATTTACAAGTTATTTCATCATTGAAGGAAAACTATTAAAAATATACAAGCATAGAAACTTTCTGTGATTCATTCCTATGCAATGAGTTTTTTGAGTGTAAGCTAATTTTCCCTGCAACATGTATAATCCTTAAATCCGATAGCTGCATTGCATTTAATAACACTGAAAACTTAATAAAATAACTTTAGTATTTTGATAATCAGATATGCACCCTTTCAGGGTAGTTGCAGAGCATCAAATATGATTTGCAAAATACGGTGAAACTTCTGATAATGAAGTCTTTCGTAGTTGAAGCAGTGTTGAATGTGCTGAAGAAGGCTTTTCTGTATTTTAATTTCTTAATTAATTTTAATTCTTGTTTCTTCTCTGTATTTTAATATTTTATTTCTGCATTTGAATGTTATCTTGAAAAAAACTATGATCGTCTGTAAGTAACCATGATTTTCTTTAATTTCTTCATTTGTTTAAGGGACTGGGCTTATAATTTGTGGAAACGATGTGTAAATTTACTTGTTTCACTAATTTACATGCCATATAGTTTACGTGTCTCATTTATTTTTCTAGTGCGATGAAGTGTCCATACATACAAAACCCCGTAAAGCAGCTGTGATCCATAGGTTAACCAAGTCATCATATTCACAGATAGGAATAATTAAAAATAATGGTAAAATTCGCTCCTCTTATAGTAAATTTTAATTTTTTGTAAATGAAATGAAATATGTAATTAAACCGTGTGTATTGAAATAATTTATCATTCTTAATATTGCTTTTCTGAAGAAGGGATTAAGTATCTGTCTTTGCCTTTATATATATAAAGCTTTTGTCCAGAATAAAAGATTGGTGAAGAATCATAAAATGTATTCGTAGCTTAAATTATCAGACGATAAGTTTAAAAAACAGGACCCATTTATTATTATTCAGGAGAAATAGCAGTTACAAAATCAGATATCCGGAGTAAATAAAAAGAATTACTAATAACTTTTTGTATGAAGTTTACTGCATCTTGACATTTAAGAAAAAGGCCCTGATATTCTTTTGCGAGTCCTTTTATAGACTCTGGAAAGGTGGAGCTTCCAAGAAATGACGCCAACCTCGTCAGCCATTCTAGTTCGCTTTAAATATTTCCAGAACATTCTATAACTGTACGTGTAGAAAAAGGCGGGAAAAACAACTTGACTACGGGGCTGTGGATTTAATTCCACGTAAATTCAAATAAGAGAACGTCACCATTAAAAATGAAAAGAACATACAGTTAGAATTTTAAGTGTATTCTTGACAATGGAATTTTATTATTACAAAATATTCCCCCCCATCTGAAAAGGCCTGAAGCCGAGCGCCTCGACCACAAGATATTCTAAATTAAAAAAAATATTTTAAATAATTGTTTAATTTGTTTGAAGAACTCTCATCCAGAATTCGAGTTACAATAATATTAATCTTAAAAAACACTCTCACTATAACAGTCAATAATAATATCAATATATAAATTGTAAATAATATACCTTAATATATTGACATTTATAGAAAGTAAAGAAAAATAACATTAGCATGCAGTATTGGGAAAATAACATGCAGTATTGGGAAAACATTTCTCGAGAACAGTTTCAGTTCTGGATCCAGGTCTTTAGAGATTGCTGCAAAACATTAGAGCAGTTCGTATTTTACAAATCTTTCATTTCCAGTTCGCCGTGGCTTATTAAAAATTTCTATTTGAGTTGAGGTATTCCTCTATTTTTTTCTTCATATCATTGACAATTGCAATACTTGACTAATTTTTTACATTTCCTTTTGACTTTTAGTTTGTTTACAGTATTTCATTTTGACTACTTATTCATATTATACTAAACACTTATTTTGATAATAATCATTTTACACAATAATTTTACTCGTATTTTACCTTTTACTATCGACAATGACAATTATGTCATATACTGCATTGTCGTTCAACACAACTTTCAACTTCAATAGTATTTTATAATTACCATTAATGTCGTTGCCAAAAAATTGACACATAAATACAAAATAAATGCAAAGATACAAAACAACACATCAAAAATTTACAATACAGAAAATTAGACATTAAATAATTAGAGGTGCTCTAATTACCTTTAGTAGCAAGTCTAATTACCTTTAGTAGCAGTTGAGCGTTTACCAAAAGGAAGGTGTGTCTACCTATTGGTGATGTAGTTTAAAATTTTCTGGGTCTTGGTAGTGTCGTAGTCTGGAAACATGGACAATGTCAGTAGGTTTCTTTGTGTGGTAATTCTTTTTATCAATTTTATAATTAACCTCAGATAATTTTTTGACAATTTGGTGTGGTCCAGAATAGGGAGGTGTCAATTTACGTGTATTCGGAAATTCAAATTCATCAAATAAAACTAGATCACCAGGTTGAAAATCTACATCTGCATATTTCATGATTATCACTACACATTTCAGGATAATATCAAATCTTACTTAGAATACTATTAATTAGAATAAGACTTGAAATTTAAATAAACTCATAATTACTTTAACATATAATATATTTAAACCGAACTATTGTCGTAGCAACTTAGTTCACACACTGAGAAAAAATAATTTCTTAAAATATGTTCTTACTTGGCTGTGGAGTACACTATTTAATCCTGCTCGTTTGTGTGCTGTTAAAAAAAACACAGCATAAATGATTGAAATTCTTCAGCTTCTTTCCAGCAGACGATATCCAAATCATGCGGTTCTAATTATGAGACGCGCTCAAAATGCGACAAGAAAGCTGTATCACGATTCACAATTCTTTAATTGAAAAAAAAAAAAAAAAAGCATAAATGATGGAAATTCTTCAGCTTCTTTCCAGCAGACGATATCCAACTCATTTGGGTTAACTATGAGACGTGCTCAAAATTCGAAGAGAAAGCTGTATCACAATTCACAATTCTTCAGTTGTAAAAAACAGGACAATATCCAAATCATTCGGTTCTAACTATGAGACGTGCTCAAAATTCGAAGAGAAAGCTGTATCACAATTCACAATTCTTCAGTTGTAAAAAACAGACACAACTTGCACTTAAAAGTTCTTTCTCTTCCATTGGAATTATTTTCCTTTTCGGTACACCCATCCTGCCAACTCCTTGTGATGTACCAGCTTTTGTCCAGAATAAAAGATTGGTGAAGAATCATAAAATGTAGTCGTAGCTTAAATTATCAGATGATAAGTTAAAAAACAGGATCCATTTATTATTATTCAAGAGAAATAGCAGTTACAAAATCAGATATCAGAGTAAATAAAAAGAATTACTAATAACTTTTTGTATGAAGTTTACTGCATCGTGACATTTAAGAAAAAGCCCCTGATATTCTTTTGCGAGTCCTTTTATAGCCTCTGGAAAGGTGGAGCTTCCAAGAAATGACGTCAGCCATTCCAGTTTGCTTTAAATATTTCCAGAACATTCTATAACTGTACGTATAGAAAAAGGCGGGAAAAACAACTTGACTATGGGGCTGTGGATTTAATTCCACGTACTTTCAAATAAGAGAGCGTCGCCATTAAATATGAAAAGAACATACAGTTAGAATTTTAAGTGTATTCTTGACTATGGAATTTTATTATTACACACACACACATATATATATAATATATATAAGAAAAATTTTAATGGGAAAGTTTTTGTTTTTAAAATTTGGATTTAGAAGAAACATTGTGGTATTTCTGATGTTATTTATCTAATTTATATAGCATCAATAAATAAAGAATTAATTTATATTTATTACTTCGCAAGTATTTTTTCATTATTACAATAGTTTTTACAACCTTCACAAAAGTATTTATGCATGTAGTTTATATCATTTTGTATTTTTAAAAGTAATATCTGAATGTAAAGTGGATTATTCTTTATGAAGTCTTTTTAAGATTGAAAAAAGTTGTAAAAATAAATATACATAAATTTTGTTTTAAATAGTTATTGTGTCATCATCATTTGTTATGCAGTAGCCTTAGTTGACAAGATCCAAAAAGAGTAAAGGGCGGGCAAAAGCATACTTAAATTAGAGATGAGCAAAACCCGTTCAGTACAGACGTGTCATATGTGTATCAGCAGCAAACATTAACTCACAGCCAGGTGTGTCATATTTGAATCCCATTTAATTCACTCTATTGGCCGGGTGTACCACATTTGACCTTTTAGATAGAACGGGTGTGTCTCATTTGAATCCCCATTTAATTCACTCTACCTGCCGGGCGTACCACATTTGACCTTTTAGATAGAACATTTAATTAATATTTTTTGTTGCCGCTAGATGTAGCTTTATGCCTGTTATGGGGAAATATATCGAAAGTTAAGTAAGCCCCTGATATTCTTTTGCGAGTCCTTTTATAGCCTCTGGAAAGGTGGAGCTTCCAAGAAATGACATCAGCCATTCCAGTTTGCTTTAAATATTTCCAGAACATTTTATAACTGTACGTGTAGAAAAAGGCGGGAAAAACAACTTGACTACGGGGCTGTAGATTTAATTCCACGTACTTTCAAATAAGAGAGCGTCACCATTAAATATGAAAAGAACATACAGTTAGAATTTTAAGTGTATTCTTGACTATGGAATTTGATATAAACAAATGCACCTGCTCTCACTGCATTGAGGTACTTTTTATTTTTGCGATATAGTGGGATAGAGGTTCTATGATCAGATTTTTTTTAATTACTCTTATATTTTTCCTTTTTTTTTTTATTACTCTTAGATTTTTCGGGCTTTGAGATAAAGGGAAACGTGTAGAATATACACAATCAATCACTAATTCGTTAGTGTTGAGTAATGTAAGAGCTCTTACTGTGTCATTTTATATAAACAAATGAACATGTTCTGGATGCTTTGGAATACTCTTAATTTAATTTATTAATTTTTATTTTATTTTTTATCAGTTATAGTGGAGATGTTCTATCATTAGAGACTTTTTTATTAATCCTTGAGGGCATTGAGACGAATATTTTGTATCGCTTGGCGAAAGTTTTTTTTTTTTTAAATGTCAAAACGAAAGCACTATCTGACCGTAGAACATATGCAAATGCTAAATGAGTCAAATTTGCTGAGTAAAATAGCAGCAGATATTATATTCCTGTGACCAATGCAAGGTTGGACTTTGCGTAGACCCATGTTTCAAAGAATATCATATACTGTCTCATTTTGAAACATTGCTTACTTTTCGTTGTTTGCTCATTGAAATTTTATGAAAGACAGTTTTAATATTTTTAAATTTTAATTGTGTGTTGTGTTAAATAAAATCTGCGATTGTTTGGATATTTTTCCATATATATTTATTTGTGGGATAAGGAGAAAATTATATTATTCTAGAATGAGTATTTTATAAAATTTTTTAAGGAAAATATAATAATGAAGGCTTAAAATTAATTCTGACAGCTACCTGAATGTTCTTCTCATAATGTACCCAAAATTGGAAAAATTGGATGACCAGGGTTCTTACAGTCCTTAAGAGACCTTAAAAGTTCTTAAATTTTTTTGAATTGATTTTTGGTCCTTAAAAGTCCTTAACTTTGGCCAAAATCAGCAGAAGGTCCTTAATTTTAATCATCTGAAATTTCTGTCTGTTTTTATGACTGCCATTTTGAGTGTGAATTAGCATTTTGGAGGAATATTTTTGGCGATTCACTGACATATATGGTTATCTTTTGA